GCAAAATTCTTCGCGCGTAAGTTTGGGTATCAACACACAGCCACCAATGGTCAGCACAGCCGAAGCTGTCGGCCGTGCCCGAGACACTCTGCATAACATGGCTCTAAGTAACAAAAATAAAAAACATTGAATTAATTACTTTTATATATTTTTAAATAATTATCAAAGTTAGTCGTGTGGTGTATCACACCGAGGTACGAAATGGGTTAAACGAAACTTCCTATATGCAAACAAGATGGCTCCTGGGCTCGTAGCGATAAAAAAGGTACTACTGTAGCATTACACCTGCAGAATGTTTTCTAGCCAAATTCCCAAATCAATGATTTTCAGTCTAACATATATATATATATAAGTTGACGTGAAAAATTCTTCAATTATAGACCTTTCGGAATGAAAAGAATATAATATAACTTCAACAATAATCTAAAAAGAACACCTGGGCAAGACCAAATAAATGGGAAACCTGTAACGACACGGATGCGTCGTTTAATTTTGCTGAAATATCAGTCGCGGTTTGCAGTCGAGGTCAGGATCGTTGCAATAAATTTGTTTATTGACTACTTCGAGTGCTAGAAAAAAAAATCCAAGGAGAAATAAAAGACGTTGTTTATTTTAAATTAAAAAGAATATCTTTATTATTATGAAATTTCTAATATTAGGTAAAAAAGATAGTCTATGTTGTTATAATTCAAAAGAACTATAATAGATTGTAGCCAATAACGCCGGCAGCGTTATATTCTATGATAATACTGTTATAGTATCAAAATGCATATGACATCAAAATGCTGGTGGCGTTATAAACTACTGATCTACAATTTATTTGGCGTATAGTATCAGACTAATAAGAGAAGTTTTTCAAAAAATTTCTAATAAAAAACACTTATTTCCTCACCGATAGAAAACTTGATTCCGGACCATCAGCTAGGATTTCACAAAGGGCATGAAACAATTGAACAGATCGTCAGAATCGTTAACGAAACACACTTAGCTTTATATTTAAATAAAATATTCTACGGCAGCTTCTCTTATTGCAGTGCAAGCATTTGATAAAGTTTGGCTTGAAGGACTTTTATTTAAAATTATGCACTCACTTCCAAAAAACTTTCATAAACTTCTGAAATCCTATGTAACTCACCGAAAATATAGACTTTAACAGAAATTTTTTACTGTAACACAAATATAGAAAAAATCTAGAGAGTACAAAATAAAATTCTCCGAAAAGTTACGTGCGCTCAGTAGTATGTCAAAATCAAAAATCTACACAGATCTACAGATCTAAATCTTCTAACTGTTGAAAAAGTAATTCACCAATACGCACCTAAATTTTAAAAGCGACTCAAGTCGCATCCAAATCCTCAAGCTCTATATTTATCTTCTGCAACCGCACGTATCCGACGTAAAAGACAATAATTGATAAACATAAATAAGAGTCACGCAATATAATAAGAGTCAATCGTATAATACAGTTGTTATATACTTTGTTCATATTTGAATATTTATATAAACATTTTTAAAATATTTTAATTTATTAGTTCTTTTTATTTTTCACAGGCACACATAAATTGGCATTCACGAAATAAGGTCGAAAAATGGTTCCTCCTAATGTTTATTATAATGGCTTTAGCAATTATTGCGCTTCTAATAGACAAGATTTCAAACAAAACTGAACAAACTTCGCGTATCTTACGTGTTGAGCCACATACTACAGGTAAGCCTAAGATATACAATGAAATGCTCAACAAAAAGTAATATGTATATTGGAGTTGTATAATAAACTAAATCCATGAATCAGTATTACTAATCAGCATTAATTAGAAACCATGCTAGTTTTTTATATAAGTAGTGTAAGGCTCCATTATGTAAGGTGTCTTGCCATGTCACCCTAAATTAAAGAAACCTGCTGACTTTTTTTTTTTTGGATTTTTAAGGTAAACTTTGCATATAAAACATATTTGGCATTCCGCTGCTACTGTTACTGACGCTATTGCTGTTGGTGCTGGTGCCACTGCTGTTGCTATTGGTGCTACTGCTTGTGTCCTTTTTTCACAAAATCTGGGATTGAGTTTTTTTCTCGAATGATAAAATTTTTGCATAAAGTCTGATCTTGTATTTTCTTCTCGAACGATGAAATTTTTACATTAAGTCTTGAGTTGAATTTTCCTCTAGAATGATGAAATATTTACATAAAAACTGAAGTTGAATTTTTTACACAAAATTCTTTTAAACTCCACCAATATCATTAACCAAGCACCGTACTCTCCAGATATGGCCCCGTGTGACTTTTTCCTCTTCCCCCGACTCAAATTACCATTGTGAGGAACGCGTTTTGAGACTATAGAGGCCATAAAAGAGAATTGGGCGGCTTATGAAACTTGTATTGAAAATTGGATCTAGCCTTGGCATGCATATATTGCCGCAGGAGGAGAGTACTTTGAAGGCGATAATAAAGAAAATTATTAAAAAAATAAAATTTTGCGTTTTTTTTTAAATTCTCGTTCTTTTTTGATCATAAGGTAAGATACTTTGTTCATTACCTGCAAATGTCCACGCAGTTTTAGAATCGTATATGAAAAATAGAAGCTTTGAAGTTAAATGTAAATCATATACTTCTTATAATTTTCCAATAGAAGATGGCGTTCAACAAGGAAATGTTCTTGGCCCTATCTTGTAAGTACTTCATACATCTGATATCCCAATAAGTGGTTCAGTTATCACCACAATGTTTGCCAATGATACGGCAATTTCAGGGTAAAACAAAAACGCTGTGCTAGTTTCAAACCAACTCCAATCTCACTTATTTCGGGTGGAGAAATGGTTGTCAAAACGGCGAATTAAAATTAGTAAACTAAAATATCGATATGTCACCTTTACCTTAAATCAAAGTAAGTCCCCAACAATTTTATTAAAAAACATTCCCATATCACAAACAGATAATATAACGTACTTATGTATTCTTCTAGAAAAAAGACTAACTTGGCGAAAGCGTATTGAAGCCAAAAAAATTCAGATGAATAAACTAATATGGCGTTTACATTGGCCGAAAATGGCTCATTTTGAATGAGCCATTTGAAAGTGTTTACATTCGTTCTATTTCATTTGTTCTCATTTCAATAGCTGATTTTTCAACTTGCATGTTGATTTGATTTTTGGCCTGTGCCAAAAAAATGTTGCATGAAGGTTAAATATGCCTTCAAACCTTACATTAGAAACTTAAAACATATTTTTAACTTCGATTAATTACTTTTTGGGAAGTAAAAGTTCTAAAAAGCAGTGCATCGTTTTCAAGAAAATGCAACCACCAAACATTTGTTTACCTTTTTTTGTAAATATGTTAAAAACAGCTTTTTCAAACTGTCAAAATGCCATGAAGAGCTTTCATTTAGGGTATGTTCAATGGATTCCTTTGCATTTGGAACGTATGTGGAATGCATTCGAACGTCATTCATACAGAATGTGAGAAAATTGCTCATTTTTGTGCTTGAAATTTTATATGCAAGAATGAGCCATTCGATACTCATTTTCGATTTTTGACCAAAATGAGCCATTTTCGGCCAATATAAACGCCGTATAAGCCTCTAAGTTTAATTGGCTCATTAATAGCATATCTTCCCTGTGCCTTGAATATAAATTACTCTTGTATAATAGCACCATAAAACCAATATGGACTTATAGCATTCAATTATTTGGTAATGTTAGTGCTTCAAATATTGAAATTATTCAAAGAGCTCAGTCAAAAATATTGAGAACAATCACTGTTGCCTCATGGTATATTAGAAATGAAAGTATACACCGAGGTCTACAAATTCCTCTAGTTAAAGCTGAATTTGATAATATAAGAAAAAATACAATAAAAGGCTAACAGAACATGTTAATCCCTTAGCAAGAAATCTCGCACTTCTATCCATTACTTCCGCCTAAAATGGGTTGACCGTCCAGCCATTAATTAATATTCAATAGCTTGAAGTAAAACCTGTACTTTTCTTTTTAGTAATCTGATAAAGTTGAACCGCTTTCTTAATGAACCACCCAACATTCACTTTAATGAAATTTAACTCATTGATCTAAGCGAGGTTCGTGATATAAGGTTTACTTACTTTACTTTATATTATACAATGTATAAGTGATAAGATTTTACAACTTATTGTTTATCTTATTGTAAGAGATGATGCAATAAATAAATGTATTTTTTACAAAAAAAAAAAAATAATGAAACATACTCTCCATACCAACACAATTTATATTTTGTAATAAAATGAAAATTACACCAATACCTGACAAAAATTAATACGAATTATTTTTAAATGAAGTAAAAGATTTTATCAGAATTGATGACATTATATATGAAAAAAAAACCAGTAGCCTTAAGTAATAAATGTTTAACAAACCTAATTAATAATAATAAAACTATGTGTGATTTTACAAAAAATGATAACTGTAACTAAAAATTTATTACAAACTTTTATTCAACAAAAGAATAATAAGTTGTAAATTAAATGAATATATAATATAGCATAATAGGTACATATTAAAAATAGCTTAATACATACTAATAATTGTAAAATTAAGATTAAAGAATTTGATATAGACATCAATGAACAAATTGAAAATATTTAGAAGTCAAGTGTATCTCTACCAGAATCAAAAGAACATATTGTGAAAACTAAAGCGAAATAAAGGGTTGTTTCTTGCCGCTGCTGTCTCTCTCTATCTTTCAAACATTGTACGCATAATTATACACATTCATTGTATTCTTTAGTCGTTAATAAACTGTCAGCAGAAACTGACGCTAAAATCGGTGTTAAGTGTTATTTATTTATTAGTATTTTTTACATGGTGCCGAAACCGGGAGTCGGTTGAATTCTAACGGGAATTCTAGCGGGCTGATAGTTTAAAAAAAAAAGTAAAAAAAAAAGCGGTTAAAAAAAAAAGCGTTCGACTCTTAAACAAAAAAAAAAACGAGTCTAATTAATTACAAATTATTTATTTATTTATAAAAAAAAATGGAGGCAGCTAGCAGAGCGTCCTGTAGAACGCAGTTAACGAAAATATGTAACACAGTGGATGCATATTTTAAACAGGAAATACTGCAAGAGCCAGACGTGGCATCAAAGGAGTCAACTCTGAACATTTATTTATCTCGCATAAATAATGCGCATCAGAGATTGTTAAAAGCTGATGAAATCGTGCAAAGCAAAGTGACTCAAGAGGATTGGGCACAGGAATTTGAAACAGCGTTGGAGTATGACGATCGAGCAGTAGGTATAACTGCAAAAATTCAGTGTGAATTGAAAAGGATAAACAGCAATTCTTATGAAGAAGTATTGCGCAACGAAAATCCATCTAGAACAATCGTTAACAGTGAAACTAATATAAAATTGAAGCCTCTGGAGCTTAAGAAATTTGATAGAAATTTGGAAAATTGGATTCCATTCTGGGAACAATTTAAACAAGCAATTCATGAGAATTCGAAATTAGATGCAGCTTCAAAATTCAACTATTTAAGTGACGCACTGGTAGGCAAAGCAGCGGCAACAATAACGGGATTTTTGCCGACAGAACGTTGTTATGATGACGCCATAGAATTACTCTTAGAAGAGTACGACGATAGCGACAAAATTGTAGACAAGTACATACAAAAGTTGCTAAACATAAGAGCCATCAACTCAGCGAGCGACGTAAAGAGTTTAAGAATTTTATACAACGAAGTAAGAGCAACGATGAGAACTCTGTCAGCATTATGTATTTCACCAACTCAGTAAGCATGAGAATAAATTTCTATAAAACGCAAAAGGAAGTTCACATTCAACTACCGCAAGTCGCACCAGACTAAACGAAAGTGAGCGAGCACTAGAGCAAAATTGCGACAATTTAGAAGCTCTCTTGGAATACATAAAAGTTGATATTGAAGCATTAGAAACAGCTCAAATAGTTGAGAGAGATAATAAGAAATTTGAAGAGAAAAGAATATCGGAACATAAACCAAGAGATACAGCTGTTGGTTTGCATGCTAGTTATGAAGCAAATCAAATTAAGTGTGTGTTTTGCAAAAATAGCACTCATGCTACAAAAAATTGCAAAAAAATATGTCTGTTGAACATAGAAAAAAAATTCTTAAGGAGGAAGGTAGATGCTTTAGATGCACAAATAAAAATCACAATGCAAAGTTCTGTAAAAACCAATGGTTAAAGTGTACAATATGTAACGGTAGACATTTAACAATAATGTGCGAGAAAAAACATTTGAAAGAGAACCGAAAAATTCAAGAGAATGAGAGTTCTGATAAAACGAATATTGTGGAGCAAGTAATTGGAAATAAGCAAATGACATCATCACTAAATGCTATGAAAGCAGAGGATAATCAAATTTACTTGCAAACAGTAAAAGCCATTATTGTAAACAAAAACAATAATACAGAAGTTTTGTCACGTTGCATTATGGACAACGGCAGTCAACGAACATACATAACTGAAGAACTTGTCAACAATTTAAATATGCCTGCAATTGGTTATGAAGAATTTAAAATCTTAGGATTCGGCGAATTGAACGAAAATAAGTCTGCTAAGCGTTTTAAGCAAGTGATTTTTCATATAAAGAGCCAGTATTATGACAAAGACATTGATTGGACAAGACAACTATTGGATTTTTAATACACATAAAGTTAAACGAATAACAGATAGTTTAACAGCAGTGGATACGTATTTTGGTTGGACAATTCAGGGCGGCAAGGGAACCAAAAATTGCGTAAATTACAATTTTAATATAATTGAGACAGATAAAGAAAATTTAAATTTAACAAAATTTTGGGACTTAGAAGCAATAGGAATTGTTAATAATGATGATGTAGCTATATTAAATACAGTTACTAGCATAAAAAAGATTGATAGTCGTTATACAACTAATTTGCCTTGGAAATTAGAAAAATCTAAATTAAATAACAACAAAATTAATGCCGAAAGAAGACTGAAGAATTTAACTACGAAATTAATTTCAAATAAAGAAAAGTTGTTGGAGTACCACAATGGTATCTTAGAATTATTACAAGGAGGAATTGCTGAAAGGGTAAGTAGCAATTTGAGTGATATAACTTCATACTACATGCCACATAGACCAGTATATCGTGAAGATAAAACAACTTCAAAGATGCGTATAGTTTTTGATGCGTCATCAAGAGTGGCGGAGCATGGATCGTAAATGAATTTTTAAGCCCAGGTGACAATTTACTGTCAAACTTAGTGTCAATATTGCTAAGGTTTCGTTCAAAGAGAATTGCTACGACAGCAGATATTGAGAAGGCATTTTTGCAAATTGCTATAGACGAAAGCGATCGCGATACACATAGATTTTTATGGTATGACAAAATGCCAAGTATAAACGAACAACTGCCAAATATTGTAGAAATGCGTATGACGAGAGTAATATGGCGTTTACATAGGCCAAAAATGGCTCATTTTGAATGAGCCATTTGAAAGTGTTTACATTCGTTGTATTTCATTTGTTCTCATTTCAATAGCTGATTTTTCAACTTGCATGTTGATTTGATTTTTGGCCTGTGCCAAAAAAATTTTGCATGAAGGTTAAATATGTCTTCAAACCTTACATTAGAAACTTAAAACATATATTTAACTTGGATTAATTACTTTTTGGGAAGTAAAAGTTCTAAAAGCAGTGCATCGTTTTCAAGAAAATGCAACCACCAAACATTTGTTTACCTTTTTTTGTAAATATGTTAAAAACAGCTTTTTCAAACTGTCAAAATGCCATGAAGAGCTTTCATTTAGGGTATGTTCAATGGATTCCTTTGCATTTGGAACATATGTGGAATGCATTCGAACGGCTTTCATACAGAATGTGAGAAAATTGCTCATTTTGCGCTTGAAATTTTATATGCAAGAATGAGCCATTCGTTACTCATTTTCGATTTTTGACCAAAATGAGCCATTTTCGGCCAATGTAAACGCCATATAACATTTGGAGTTACTTCTAGCCCTTTTTTGCTATCCGCAGTTATTCGAAAACATTTAACGAGTTGCAAAGAAACATTTCCAGCAACATGTGAAGCACTATTAAAGTCACTTTATGTAGATGATCTTTTAATTAGTTGTCATGAAGTTGAAGAAGCCAAGAAAATTTATTTCGAATCAAAGAAAATTATGAGCGATGCAAAATTTAATTTGAGGAAGTGGAATTCAAACTGTATAGACATAAGAAAATGTTGTGCAAGCGAAAGTAATCAAAATGCAATTCAAAAAATTTTAGGAATAAATTGGTATATTCTTGAAGATGACATTAGCGTTGATCTGGTAAAGACCATTGAAACCATTGCTATTTTAAAACCAACAAAGCGAAGCGTGATGAAGGCTTTGGCAAGAATATACATGAATATACATATATATGATCCGTTAGGAATAATAGCACCCTTTACAGTGCGACTAAAAATTTTACTTCAAAACATTTGGAAAGTGAAATATGAATGGGACGCGCCTTTAAATGACGAAATTTGTTACGAATTCGAAGCATGGCGAAACGAACTTAAAATATTAAGACATTTCAAAATTTCTCGTTGTTTGTGTCACGCAGAGAAAAGCTTTATAGAGATCCATATATGTGCTGATGCAAGCCCAAAGGCATATGGAGTTGTGGCATATCTGAGAACAGTGGCGAATGGGATAGTTTCAAACAAATTTATGAACTCTCGCTCCCAAAGTTGGAACTCACGACAGCTGTTATTGCAGCACGACTTAAAGCATTTTTATCAGAGTCTCTAGAGTTACAAATTGATAAATACTACCTATGGTCTGATTCAACAATTACACTTAATTGGATTATGGGATGCGGAAATAAAATAAAGCCATACGTTACAACAAGAGTTAAAGAAATTTTAAAATTAACTAACATTTACGAATGGAAACATTGCGATGGCAAAAGCAATCCTGCTGATTTTTTAACTAGAGGTTGTACAACCAAAAATTTGTTTAATAATGAATTATGGAAAAATGGTCCGAGCTGGATATCGGCAAAGGAAATACATTCTGCAAGCAAAAAGAGTATGAATGATATTTTATTAACATTTTCGAACCTGAATGAAAACATTGTCAATCAAAGCGAATCTTTTGAAACAATAAACAAATATAGTAACATAAAAAAGTGTTAAGGGTAACAGCCTATATTATGAAGTTTATTAGCAACATGCAGACACAAAAATCTCACAGGACAGTACAGAAGACATCAAAAATTAATGACGTAAAAAATTTAAGTGCGCAGGAAATTGCTGAAGCCGAAAAGCTTTTGGTAAAACTGGAACAGAGAAGATATTTTCCTGAAGAAGCTAGTTATCTGAAGAACGGAAAAATTTTGCCAACAACATCGAAGTTATTATGTTTAAATCCAACTATTGACGATGACGTGATAAGACTTAGTTGCAGGATTTCAGATAAAGATTACGACAAAAGTTTGACAAAACCAGCTATATTGCCTAAACTGTCTCGTCTGAGCAGGATGTTAATAATTGAAGCGCATACAGCTACTCTACATGGAGGTGTGAATGTAGTACTAGCATACATACGAAAGAAATATTGGATAATACAAGGTCGCCAACTTATCAAAAATATAGTAGGTCAATACATAGTATGCAAAAGGATCAGAGGTAAAAACGCTAATGAACAATGGTCTGTTTTGCCAACTGAACGAATTACAACAACCAGACCATTCAAGACGACTGGAATTCATTTTGCAGGACCACTATATATAAAAATTGAAAGAGAGAATTACCAAGAAAAGGTTTATATAATGTTATTTACATGCGCAGCTATAAGAGCAATCCATTTGGAACTGGTGAAAAATCTTACAACCAATAGTTGTATTGACGCTTTAAGAAGGTTTATAGCGCATCGTGGTTGTCCAGAAACAATCATGTCAGATAATGCCAAAACATTTAAAAGAGCAAACAAAGAACTTCAAAAGCTAGAAGCCTTACTTAAATCCGAAGAATTTCAGAACAATGTAGCCCACAAAGGTATTTCATGGAAATTCATACCAGAAAGAGCGGCATGGTGGGGTGGATTCTGGGAAAGATTAGTGAAAAGTGTCAAGGTATGCTTGAAGTCAGCTATTGGGAAATTGATATTGACATACGATGAACTGAACACACTATTGACAGAAGTTGAATACGTTGTAAATATTCGTCCTTTAACCTACATAACAAATGATGAAAAGGATTTAGAACCATTAACACCAGCGCATTTTTTAAATTCGTGTCAACACAGCTTTATTATTGACGAGTTTAACTATGACAGATCAGAAGTTGCTGATTTATGGCAAAAACGTCGAGCGTTAATCGTAAGGTATCTTAAAAGATGGCAGCAAGAATATTTGAACCAATTACGGAGTATTCACTACAATAAACCTCGTGCTTCAAGGAGTGTAAATGTGGGAGATATTGTTTTAGTCGGTGATAATTTAAAAACTCGGCTACAATGGAAAATGGGTGTCATTAAAAATGTATACCACGGAAGAGACAACAGAATACGAGCTTGTGATGTCTATATGGGTAACAATCTTACCTTGAAGAGACCAATTCAATTACTGTATCCACTCGAGGTTTCTGCAACTCGCGGGAACCAGGATGTGAAAACTAAAGCGAAATAAAGGGTTGTTTCTTGCCGCTGCTGTCTCTCTCTATCTTTCAAACATTGTACGCATAATTATACACATTCATTATATTCTTTAGTCGTTAATAAACTGTCAGCAGAAACTGACGCTAAAACCGGTGTTAAGTGTTATTTATTTATTAGTATTTTTTACACATATTAACAAAATACATGTAATCAATATAAATTATTCTTTAAGTATAATAATAACTATATTAATTATATTGTTAACATTTGCATTCAAAATCATATACAAAATATATCAAAATAAATTGAATAAAAGCAATGAGGAGATTACAAATTTTAATGAGGGAAGGAATGACATAGTCATACCCCCAACTATTATTTCTTAAATATATAATGTAGTGCATACACTTCCATGCTTCTGAACACAATCTCAATTGAAGACAACGTTTCTATTTTCTTGTAAACATAAGTTCAGTAGAACAAAGGCTGGAAATGACGCCTGCAAATTGTAAGTTCAGCATTAATGTAACTTTTGTGAAACATTGCATTTTATGGTAATGTTTAGATGCGAAGCTGGAAGTGATGCTCAAATCTTAACCCATTGCCTGATAATGTTGTGAAAACGCACCAATTTTAATGCTATGTTTAAAAATTCGTTAAAATTTAATTAAAAGGTTTTTGTGCTTTTAGTTATTTTTGTACAATAGGACTATGATTTTGCTATAATATATAATTTTTATTTGTACCTAAGTAGTATAGATACAATTTAATGGAAGATTTTGCAGAACCTTGTTTGTGTAATTTTAAAATTATCCTGTGTTATATAAATGGAGAAAATTTGTTTTAATTTTTTACCTAAATCTTTAATTCAATAGTGTATTCTAGCGAATCTATATAAATTGTAAGCTATTTAGTGATATATGTGCATTACAAAAACTCTCAAAATCTGGTGTTGCGAAAACGCACCAATTTCAAGAAACGAGTACCAAAGTTTTTTCCCGGTAAGGAAATTATTGCTTGCACCAGGTAGGCTCAATAGATTTTTTAGCGTAACAGCAATTAAATGATATACTTGCTGCAACTTATCACGAAATATATTCCCATGTTTGAAATTATTTAATGTTACCTTATGATTTTTTATGGTATTTCAGTATAATTTTATAATTCTTCTTAGAAACTTTACAATATTGGTGTATAAATATAAATTATTGAATAAATACACTAAGACTTCTAATACAGTCATTAGATTCAAATTAATATTTCTGGTGTCAATTTAATATTCAGCCTTCAAACATTAGTGCTAAATAGTGTTAAAATGAGTGAACAACAACGTGAGGGATAAATAAATTTTTAAAAGTACCTCTAAAAATCACAAAATTTTTTTCCGAGATATGGGTCGTCTTATTTTATAAAAGGAGCTTATAAATAAAATTTCAGCCAAATCGGAGATCATGAGGTCATATTTTGTCAAAATCCGCCCGGTTTGTAAAAGTATCACCCATATGCACAAGTAATGCATGATGACCATATAACCAATATTTCAATATCTGAAATGAAAATTTATTGGCATACTGTACCTATCTGGCTACAGTTTAGTACCAAGTGTGGACAATTATTGGTCTAGCATACCATCTTTGGGGAAAGAAGTAGTAAAGCAGTACATGTCGAGAAATAGATTTTGGCAAATAAAAAAATATTTCCATGTTTGCTATAGTAATGAATTTGATTCATCAGACAAATTTAATAAAGTAACACCCTTTAACAATTTACTCAATAATCGTTTTATGCAGTTTGGAATCTTCGCACATAATATATGTAAAGATGAACAGATGATAAGCTACTTTGGACGTCATCCATGTAAAATGTTCGTCAGAGGCAAACCAATTCGCTTTGGTTATAAGTATTGGTGTCTCTGTTCAGCAGAGGCACCTTCAGTTTGAGCCTTATACAGGTGCTATTAAAAGAACGAATGTGTCTTTAGGAGAACGGGTAGTCTTATCTCTCTTATCCCGAATATAAGAACCAAAAAATCATACGGTTACATTCGATAACTTCTTCACATTATTCAAAGTAATTGCTTTTCTAAATGAAAAAGACTTTTTTGTAACTGGGAAGATATGCGCAAATCGAACTAAGGCTGAAAAACTGAGCTCTGTAAAGGACATATCTATACAGCTACGGAAACAAAAGATGCGGTATACAATGTCGACAACATTGTATATTTATATCGATGGAATGACAACTCTGTAGTTAGAAAAGAGTAGAAAATGGCTAATATCAGCATGCAATACATTATAAATCATTATGATAAAATAATTGCTGGCGTTGATCTCTTTGGCAATGCTATAAACAATTACCGAATACGAACTCGAGAGAAAAAATGGTACTGGCCTCTTATAACTAACGGACTTGATGCAGCGATGGTTGACGCTTGGAAACTCAATTGCATTTTACGAAACAATATTGAAAAAAAGTGAATTATATAACAAGCTGACTTCCGTGTAGAAGTAACAGAAGATTTGCTACTAACTGAGGATCAGAAGCATTTTCGACAGCCAAACATGCCAACAGCATCAAGATATGTTGGTCAGACAGTATCCTGGCAGGCAAAGGTGTAAATTGTGTCGCAATCAAACCATATATATCTGTACCAAATGTAATATTGCTTTGCACCCTAAGTGTTTTATAACTTATCATACATAAATTAAATGTTCAAAAAATACAAAAAAATAAAAATATTAAAAAAAATTAAAACATCAAAATTTTTTGGTATGTGAACCTTTATTCTGACAATGTTGCGAAAACGCACCAGTGGGTGTAGCTTAAACTGGGAGGGTTAGCAAAAAAAAAAATTTTTTTTTCTTAATTAGGAGTACATAAGTGCACAAGTAAAACGGCTTTACGAAATTCCGGTTAAGGTTTAAACATAAGTTATTGTTTTAGTGATATCAATTCAATAAAGACGAATATATATAAAAATATATACTAGCGGATCCGACAGATGTTGTCCTGCATAATATACTAAGCGATTAGGATATTAAACAAAGTAAGAAAGGAAAGACAAATAATGTAATAATTTTGTTATTCTTTATTTTGAAATAACATCAATTTTACTAAACACAATTCGTAATAATCAATAGTGTTTGTTTAATTTCATATTCATGCGAGTTGATGAACAATATTTTTAGGCAATTCTTGAGGAGTATAAATGAATAAACTTGACGGTTTTCCAACGCGAGAACACGCCACATATAATTGACCATGTAAGAAGACCTGATTTTCTAGATCTATCCCACAAATCGACATTGTTTGACCTTGTGACTTATTAATAGTCATGCGAAATGCCAAGCGAATTGGAAATTGCAGACGTCTGAATGGAATGGGTGAGTCTGAAGGGATCATTGGGATTCGTGGCAGGAGAACAGCTTCACCTTCAAATTTGCCATTCAAAATTGTAATTTCAAGTACATTGCCCATAATTTTTTTTATGACTAATCTCATGCCGTTGCATAGCTTAGATGCATTTAAATTTCGCAGCATAATTATAGGTGAACCAGTTTTTAATCTTAAGTTATGAGGTGACATTCCTGGTAAATCCAGCGAATTCAAAAATTCAACAGGATGGTTGAACGATTCATTTTAGAGACTTTAAATTTTTAAACAAATCAAAGTAAGCATGAATAAATTTTAAATGTCTAATGAGAAGGTATATGGATACCAAAAAACTGTGTAGTAATTAAAAGAACATTATCCAGTGGACCAAATTGTGAATCTAAACTATCATTGAATCCACTTGAATACACACAAAAAATTTCATCAAAATCGGTTCAGCCGCTTAGGAGGAGTTCACTGTCAACACACGTACAGAAGAATTATATATATATGAAGATAAGTTACAAACTGTGTTTTCTTTTAAATAAAAAAAAAACACAACTGATTCGTATATATATATATATATATGTGGCAATTGGCGGCGGGCAGTAAAATGAAAACGAAAAAACTGGCAACACTGCTAGTTTTTGATTGTAGTTAGTTGGAAAGAGCGAGTGATGTTGACGGGCGTAAAATACATTGAAATAATTTTGTTTTGTAGTAAAATATTATTGTAAAAATATAAATAAAATTTATTTATCATTAAATTAAATAAAGTTTTTCCTACATTTGGCGGCTCATCCGGGATCGCGGTGATCGAAAAAGCATGTGAAAATCAAAGCGCACAACATTGTGAAATTAAGTGTTGGGTTTTTTTAGTACAACAGAACTACAATAAAGAAACAGTAAAAAATGGATGAGCATGACGTCAGAAATCTTAGTGTAGAGCAATTGAAAACTAAATTGTCCGAGTTGGAACTATCTACTGCTGGAAAGAAATCAGAAATACAAAGCCGTCTTATAGAACATTATGAGGTAAATGTAAAAAATGACGATGTCGACGATGACGAAGTATCAAGCATACAAACCGTAATTCAGCGTGTGTCTGTTGCAGCTCGGTCTACATTTACTCTGCGTGACGTTGAACATTCCTTGACTTCATTCACGGGATCAGATCAACCTCCGTCGAGCAATGGGTAGAAGATTTTGAGGAAAACGCCGCAGCTGTAGAATGGAACAATGTGCAGAAATTCATTTATGCAGAGCTGTTGTTAAAAGGAACTGCAAAATTATTTATTCGAAGTCAACGTAATGTAAACAATTGGAAAATGCTAAAAGAGACGCTGAAGAATGAATTTGCTGTACAAATGTCTGCAATTGATGTTCATCGTGCGCTGAGTAACCGACGAAAGCGACATGATGAAAAATTGCTTGAATACCTTTACAGCTTGATGGAAATTGGGAAGGCCACAAAGTTGGATGAAGCAAGTATAATTGAATATTTTATCGAAGGAATACCTGATTCAAGAATGAATAAAGCTGTACTATATCACGCCAAAGCATCAGAGAATTAAAAGAACAAATTAAAATTTATAAAAAAATTAAAGCACCGAACACGAAGTACCAATGTACCAATGAGAACAAAACCGCGCCAGTGCCATCAAGCAAGGAACGGTCGAATTCAAACAGTATAAAAAAATGCTATTCGTGTGGTGAAGATTCACATTTTGCAAAACACTGTCCAAATAGACGTATAAAATGTTTTAAATGCAACCAAATGGGCCATAGATCATTTGAATGCAAAGTGAAGGTAGAAGCTGAAAAGAACGGCGTATCGTTAGCATCAGAAGCGGAACAAACTACTTTGGGCTCATACAGTAATCGTCTTTTCAAAAACCTAGTGATAAATGATTTTCAATTTGCTGCTATAGTCGATACCGGAAGCGATATCAGTATTATCAGATATGACGCGTTGATGAAAATGGGAGACATTGAATTGAGCAAAGCATCTAAAAATTTTATTGGTATTGGAGGAAGCCAGATAACAACGGTAGGCAGTTTCGACAAAGATGTTAGAGTTGACGAAGTCATTTTGCGAGTAACATTTCACGTTGCTAAGGCGAGAGACATACTGTATCCCTGCACTGGGAAATGACATTTTGAAAAACGTTAATATGATAGCAAACTCTGAGGGAGTCAAATTTGTTAAAAAAACGCAGAAAATGATTCAATACGCGAATGAGGTAAATGACACGAATACGAACGCTACAGAAAAATATCAAAAGAATAATGGAAATGAAATCAGTACAAACAACGCTTCGACATTAACCGAATTTCAACAAATCTGTCTATCAACACTAATTGATGACGGTGCTGAAGAAATTGAAATTGATGTTGCTCATTTACTAAGTTAGAACAAAAAAAGATAACTTAATTAATAACGTCAAGTTTACTAAAAATAATGCTTTGGAACTCTAATGGTTTACTCAAACATTTTAGAGAGCTTGAACTTGTTTTAGCAGCCAGAGAAATAGATGTTTGCCTTATTACTGAAACGCATTTCACACATCATTCATACCTAAAATTTAAAAACTACGAGTTTCATCACGTAGTATATCCCAGTAATTGCGCTCGAGGAGGAAGTGGAATCTTAATTCGGAAATCTTTTAAGTATTTCGTATCCAAAATAATCTCCAATGAAGAATTTCAGGCGATAACCATTACGCTTGATCTGCAATGTAAATTACAAATTACTTCTGTCTACAGCCCGCCAAGGCACAAAATTAAAACAGAGCAGTACAAACAGCTTATTGAAATGCACAAACACCGCTTCATCATGGGCGGTGACTTCAACGCAAAGCATACGCACTGGGGTGCTCGTCTAATCACAACCAAGGGGAGAGAACTTCTAAAAGCGATACAACAAACTGGCTGTGAATGCATGTCATCCAGAAACCCTACGTATTGGCCAACTGATACTGAAAAAATACCAGACCTCCTTGATTTCTTCATCATAAAGCAAGTCTCGACATACAATCTTAAAATCGAAGACGGAACCGAACTTAACTCTGACCACTCCCCGGTATACCTTACTACATATGACTCTTCTATTGTTAACAACGTGACGACTAAAATTGTCAATAAGTCAACTGACTGGAATTACTTTAGAACATTCCTTTCTAATAATATTTCGGCTTCGACTGAAATTTCCGGTGAAGGCGATGTGGAATTCGAAATTATAGACCTTACAAGAAAGCTTCAACAAGCCGCGTGGTTAAGCACTCCTATATGGAAGAAATCAAACTGTCCGCATAGATATCCAACGGCCATATTAGAACTACTACAAAAAAAACGTAAAATAAGGAAAAAGTGGCAACACTCGAGATCCCCAGCAGTTAAAGCTAATTTAAATAGGCTGACTAAAGAACTTACCTCTGAGATCAAGCGCTTTAAAAATAAACAATTCCATTCATACTTGTCTGATTTGACCAATGATCGCAGCACAGATTACTCCTTGTGGAAATGCACTCGAAATATAAAACGTCCAGCCTCTCATAACGCACCAATAAAGACCTTCACTAGCCAATGGGCCAATAGTGATAAAGAAAAAGCTGAACTTTTTCCTGAACATTTAACAAAAGTATTCTCTATTTCTGGTAGTGAGGATAGTGTTGAAACTTGTTATCTGGGTACTAATAGCATAAACAATTTGCCGCCAACTAGCGAGCTTGAAGTAATGATAATAATAAAGAACGAACTTAAGCTAAAAAAAACACCAGGATATGATCTCATAACTGCAGAACTTCTTAGAGAAATCCCAGCTAACTGCATAGTTAAAGTTACTAACATCTTCAATGCTGTTCTACGATTGAAATATCTCCCTTCGTTGTGGAAGGTCTCAGAAATTATTATGGTCCTTAAACCGGGGAAAGATGCAAACGAGATTAGCTCCTATAGGCCAATAGCTCTCCTACCTGTGCTTTCAAAAGTATTTGAAAAAATTATGCTTAAACGGATGTTGCCTTTACTTGAACAACAGCAGACCATACCTATGCATCAATTTGGATTCAGGTGTAATCACTCGACCATTGATCAAGTCCACAGAATCACAAAGGTAATCGAAACTGCCCTTGAGGAAAAGAAAGTATGTTCAGCAGTATTCTTAGACGTCTCCCAGGCTTTCGACAGAGTTTGGCATACAGGTCTACTAACAAAAATAAGAGACATTTTTCCGTTGGAGTATTTCGATATGGTTTCTTCTTATTTGACCAATCGTTACTTCCGTGTTAAGCATGGAAATAATCACAGTGAACTCCAAACAATCAACGCTGGGGTACCCCAAGGCAGTGTACTTGGTCCTTTGTTATATTTAATATACACACATGATTTGCCAACGAGCTCAGCGACGTTTACAGCGACGTTCGCTGACGATACAGCTGTTCTAGCGATTGGAGATGATGAACTAACAGCAGCCAGGCGTCTGCAGTCTTCTGTCAATGACATTATCGCTTGGGCTAAAAAGTGGAAAATAAAACTTAACCACTATAAATCAGTTCACGTCAACTTTACAAACCGAAATATCAGATTTATGCCCCTCTACATTGATGGAATACAAATTCCACATTCTAATACGGCTAAGTACCTCGGTATGACATTGGATGTAAAGCTGAGATGGAATGAACATGTAAAAAAAAGAGAGATGAACTGAATATAAAATACAGATCAATCAAATGGCTTATTGGAAAGAAGTCGAAACTGTCACTTCATAACAAGCTTTTAATTTACAAACAAATATTGAAACCAATTTGGACATATGGTATTCAGCTCTGGGGATGCGCTAGCAGCACACATGTTGAAACAAAAATTCCAAAACGTTATATTAAGGGGTGTGGCAAATGCACCATGGTACGTAAGGAACTCTGATCTGCATCGTGATCTAGGGATAAATACGGTGGTGGAAGAAATACAGCGAAATGCAAGAATGCACCTGCAGCGACTGTACTCTCATCCGAATGATGAAGCTAACGAACTGGCGTCAATAGAGCCAACTCGCCTTAAGCGTCTAAAACCTTGTGATCTTTGGTCGCAACCTGTCTGAAATGCGTGATAAATGAACTTGCGTGATTTCCGATTAAATTCTTTATAATTGTTGATTAAAATTGTTTGTTAGCTTATTATATTGTTAGCTAGTTACTCTTATAAAATTTATTTAA